TGGATCTGATTAATGATTTATTTACATTTTGTGAACAAACTACGGGAAAATGATAATGGGGAGGAGCTACAAACAGACATAACAGAAGGTAATACCGAGAAATCCAATCAGAGAGCTCAAAATCTCTTGGTGATACTGTAGATGTAAAGGTAGTTTAAATGAATCGGGGCTCTCTCTTTCTCATCACTCATGGATACTTCAGACAGTCACAGACTTCAATCATTTCTGCAATTCCTAAAAGCTATCCATTTGCTATTGATGATCAAAGTAGGCTACAGGTGGCTTGGAGCAGAACTCTCTATCTATTTTAGCACTTTGCATGCTTTCACCTTTAGCGTGTGGAGAAAAACGGTAGTTTCTCTTGATTTTAAAATAGATAAGAAAAATTTAAATTTGGATACTATATGGAACTGAAAACTGCATTGAATATAGTTCCAAAAGTTGAAAAAAAATAGGAAAAATATAATAAAAATTGTTGTTGAATTGTTGAAAAATATTAGGAAAAGGGAAAATTTTCTAGCACACACATTCCAACGCAACTAAGGAAAGATCGGGTAAGACATGGAGCTGGTTTTCTCCCTAGATGGCGCATTCAAGCGTCGTGATCGCGAATAACCTTCGTTCCTCCCTCCACGTAATTGATAAGCGAGCTATAAGATAGATACTGTAAGGAGCATCAATTTTTATTTTAAAATTTCTAAATGAATTATGTGTTAAATGTGTGTATGCTGTGTTAAAAACGAATTTTCATAAATTAATAAATAATTTTATCTTCTTCGTGCAGAAAGAAAACCTTATTAATGTGTTAAGAAAAAAAGCAAATAAAATAAGAAAACAATATCGTCTACATAATAAAATTAAAGGCGAGTATTCATACCTGATAATTCAATATATTAAAAAACTCAGTTTAAGAGTTTTTTTTTAAACATTTAAGTTGTGACAAGTTATTTATGCAGTGTGTTTAAACTGTTTTAAATGCTCTCTTCTTGAAAATTAGGCGTCTGATTCTCTCTTTTCCAAGTTTGCTTGTGATTATTTAGTATTGTCTTTTGCTAGTGATATATGCACATTATGTGTCAAGTAAAAAGAAAATTTTCTGACATCNTATGTGTGTACATTGTTAGAATAATTTTTAAGTTTATAAATTAGCTTAGTATAAATATGGTGAGAAATTATTAGCCTAAAAAGGATACTAAGCTTCTAGAAAGCAAAATTAGAGAATTTCTTTTAATGATTGAAAATGAAAATTTCAATGTGAGAGCTGCTGCCAGAGCTGTTGAGTTAACATACCTTACTTTACTTTACACTTTCACTTAATGAATTTAAAAAATCCAGCAAAAGTAACCCATAAGGGAACTCTCTTATATTTCAGCAGAACATGAGAATGAGTTGGCTGATTGCCTAAAATGTATGGCATGATGCAAAGAATTTTGGAAAATTTAAAGTGTTAATCCTTCTTCTTGCTTTTAAATAAATAGTTTTATTAGCTGCTTAAACATATCTTTTTGGTTTTTTTGTTTGATCTTGATGTCTTATTTGTTAATTACCATTATATAATTATTTTTAAACAGCCCCTTTACAATAAAAACTGGTGATCAGTACTTACCCCAGAAGTGATCAGGAATTACCCCAGAAATGATCAAGACCAGGGATAATTCCTGATCACTATAAATTTAAAATCTCTTCAATTCTAATTAGATTTTCAAACAAAAGAAGGAGGCATAGGACTCATCTCATATAGCCTCAAACTTCCAGTAAATATTAAAATTCTATCTTGAATAGTTTTTTCACAAAATAGATGTTTGCATTTTTTGATCAGTAATTACCCCAGGTCACCCTACATGAAGAATACTTGTAGGTCATTGACTTTTATCGCATGAATGCTACTTAAGTAGTATAAAATGATAAGAAATATTCAAACTAAAGCAACAAACTATGAAATAAAGTCTGTTTCTTTACTTTTTAGAGAAAAGGAGGAGAAAGAAAAATTTGAGTTTCGATTCATGAGTCTGATTAGATTGATATAGAATCGTTTAGCTTTGGTCAATAAGAGATAAACCATATTTTTGAAAGAGTAGACAGCAATACCAAATAATTAAAAAGTATCCATCGAAAAATTCAGATTTTTTTGAAAAAACATTTTGTGAGATTCTTAAAATATATTTATGTTGCATACGCCTTGCAGCGCCATCTGTAGTATAGCAGGCTCTCTTCACACACTTACTCACGAGACGGCAACGGGGAGAGAGCTCCGAAAGATGTTCTAACTATAATTGTTTTGTCTTGTCTTTTAGTGTTTCCTTAATAAAAGCTTTAAATGTAACACTTCTAGATTACTTTGAGGCTAATCCTTGACACTCCCCGTCCGTAAAATTTATTTTAATCATATTCAACCAAATTTGTTTTTATTCAACTTCTTAATACCTTAATTCATAAAAAATCAACTAAAAAGTATTATTTGCTACTGTATTTGTGAAAAATTGAAAAAAAAAATAAGCGTATAAAAGAGATTAAACTAATTTTTCTAATGTATTATCTCTGTCGTAAATGTATCTTTGCTAAGGTTTCTTAAATCCTAGCAAAGGGATGCACAACCTATAGCTTATGGGTCAAAGTTTATGTCTTGGTTCTGTACAGTTTCAATTATTTATTGGAAAATATAAAAATTTCATTAAAAAGACTTTTTTTTGTTCTGTCTTTAAAAAAATACAGTTGTGGAAGAAAGTTGTTTTTTTTTAAAGGTCATCCTTTTTTTTTTTTAATTCTCTTTTTCTAACAGTGCAAGCCTAAACCATTAGTTTTTAGGGAAATGTAATTGCTTACTAATTAGAGCTAATACATATTATTTTTCATAAGAATCTAAATCGAAATTTTTACGATTGCAGTTTTGTGTTACTTATAGTTGTCCCAGAAATAAAGTTTTTTAAATTTTTAACACCATCTATCAACAACAACAAAAAAAGGATGTGTATCTATGCTCGAGCTAATGGAATTAGTATCATAAAGAAAAGCAAATAAGATTTAAATAAATTAAATTCTTATGATTTATTAATTATCCCTTTTTTATTTCAAAAACTAATCTTAACGGTATGTTTCTTTATAAAGTCTGTAGTAATATTAATATCTATCTGTAACTTTTTTTCTTGTGTTATATTTTGAAGAATAATGTCAAAAGAGGCAAAAATTTGAATTTTTATTGAAATGATCAGCCTAAAGCGTAAAAATAAAATTTTCAAATTTAATCTTGTTTGTTTAGAGATGCTCAGATCAGAATATTTAAAAGTTGAAACTAGAAAAGAATAAAATGATATTTCTTTTTTATTCATCATTTCATATAATTTTAGTCTAAAGAAGTTAAGAGTTTAAACTTCTGTGGGCAAGTACCATAAGATAAATTCAAATTGTATATTGTTATAAACTTTCTAAATTTAGTTAGTTTATAATTTTATTTTACTCTACTAAACACATTGCTGAAATGCTAAGATTGATAAATTCTTTGCCTTATACAAAAAAATTTCTGTTTTTAAGTTAAATAGACAAAAAAGCATAATTTTTTTTAAAAAAATAAATTTTTTAATGAGAGTTTAGATTTCTTCAGATTCAAGTCTAAGTTATAGTTCGAAAGATAATTTTTGCCTACATGATTGTATACATATGAATATCCCCCATCAAATTTACAGTTAGCAGTTAGCTTTCTAAGTGACAAGTTTTGCATAGTTTTTTCTAAATCAAGCATCAAGTAAATTTTGAAACAAGGGTTTCCAAATAAGCTCACAATCCAAAAAATGTTCATTTTTTTAGTAAAGCAAAAATTGCATTAATTTTTAGTGCTGACCTCCTGAAAATGTTTAGGGAAAACACCGAACATTGGAAACATAACTGGCACAAACCATATTATGGCGAATGCTATACTGTAAAGCAAGGGCCGGGATAGCCTGTTTGGTAGGTCACTGGGCCCATGTCCAAGAGTTTGTGGGTTTGATCCCAGGCCGGCCAAAGACTTCCCATGTAATAAATGGTGACTGATGCATGTAAAATCTGCCGAGTTGCAAAGTCCTCAATGTTCCCATAACAAATCAATACCTCTGGGGCTACTGATCCAGGGGTTTCCTTGTCTCTTGGATTGGTTCAAAATCATAAGACTACGGAGTTGAACATTAGTAGTCGTAAACCCGAAATTTGATCGGCTGTTCAACGGCGGATATAAAATATAAAATGAAATATATTGTAAAACTGTGTTAACTTTTCACTTACTTAATGTATATCGCTAATTATAAATGTAGCTGCTTTTGTGAATTCTCTTTCAAGCATCTCTGCTTAAATTAATAGTTTTTCAATCCTAGCTAATAAGAATAGGTGCTTTGAGGTTTATTCATTTTGTGATGTAGTAAAACTGTTAACTGGCCTTATTGCTCAAATAAAAATATTTACCTCCAACTTGCTGAACTTGTAAAAATAATCTGTTTATCACATGTTATTTTGTCTATTCTTATTGTCATAATATATATATATATATACACCATGGAAATTTGATCAGATCTATGATATCACCAGAGATCCCTCATAGTCGGAATCAGAGTAAAGGAGTGGCATTTGCTTTTGATTTTTGCTTTTATCTGTATTTTTGTGACAAAGTAGCATACTGCAGCATAATTATAATCTTGTTCATTTTTTTTTTGTAATTTAATTTTTCATTTAAATTCACTTAACATTTTTAAAGCAAATCTTATAAAAGCATGGGAAAAGACCAGTAAAAATGTGAATGGGCTAGTATTATATCTTTTCAGTTACTGGTCTTTCTAATTAGTGGTTTGCATTTTTTAATATCTACTCTTGAATGAGCTTAAGCTATTTAATACTCTTTTTTTCATTGCAGCGTAATAGTATGCTTACAGAATATTGTTGTATTTGTTGACATGATTTAAATATTTTGCTTTAATACTTATAAAAGAATATATGCAATGAAGTTAATAAGAAATATTTCTATTTTTTCCCCAAAGGTTGTTATTTGAATTGGGAGGCATTGCTTTGAGTTTCATGGTCCTTGAAGATAACGAAATATATTAGCCAATTAAAGGTGATCTTAAAATTTATTTCCACTGCCTGCGTGAATGAAGACATTTTTATTATCTCATCGGTCTATAATAATTCTCCATTGTATTTTAAATGCCATTATTCCTTGATATTCTTTATTAACACCATTGTATAACTTTCATGTATTTGTAATAACTTTACTTCTGTTCTTTGTTTCCACGCCCTTTTAATAGATTGGCTGGCAATATTAGAACCTAACAGTAACTCTATAACTCACTTTACAGAGAAACATTCTTGTGAAATTATAATTAATTATTACAAAAAATCAATTTTTAACTAAGCACAAGTCAGTTTGACTTTAATGTGAATATAATGTAATATAATGTGAGATTATATAGAATGAAAGCTTTTAAGTAGACAGTGACTTGCTTTGGTCTAAGATTTATGCTGTTTAGAAAGCTTACTTTTCTAGAAATAAGAGTTCTACACGAAAAGTTGAAGTTACACATTCATGTTCATACTGATAAGAGACCTTATTTTTGTAGTACTTGAATTAAAGACTTATCACAAAAGTAGCACAATCTTTTTCTTACAGGGACAAATTTGTATTTTTCTTTATTATAAAAGCTTTTTCTCGTGTTCAGCCTGGGGAGAAACCTTTTTATATAGTTTATGTTAAAGTTTTTCAATAAATGAAAATTTAACGGCACACTATCTTACCCATACTGTTGAAAAATTTTATTCATATAGTTAAAGCTATAAAAGTTTTTTCAAATGAGTTTTCTGACAGAACTTCATCATATTCATACTGGTGAGAAACCTTCTAGGCACAGTCGTGTTCATATGGGTGAAAAACTTTATTCCTGTGGTATATGTCAAAAGAGTTTTTCTCAGAGAAATAATCTAATTGTGCATAGTCTTATTCATACTGGCGAGAAACTTTATTCATGTAGTATATGTAATAAAAGTTTTTCTCAGAGAAGTACTCTAAATGTGCACAGTCGCATTCATACTGGTGAGAAACCTTATTCTTGTAGTACATGTGATAAAAGTTTTTCACAGAAGACTCACTTGACACAGCACATACTAGTTCATACTAGGGAGAAACTTTATTCGTGTAGTATATGTCATAAGAGTTTTTCTCAGAGAAGTACTCTATACGTGCACAGTCGTATTCATACTGGTGAGAAACATTATTCTTGTAGTATATGTAATAAAAGTTTTTCAGAGAAGAGTTATCTGACAAAACACCATCGTATTCATACTGGTGAGAAACCATCTAGGCACAGTCGTGTTCATGTGGGTGAAAAACTTTATTCCTGTAGTATATGTCAAAAGAGTTTTTCTCAGAGATGTAATCTAATTGCTCATAGTCATATTCATACTGGCGAGAAACTTTATTCATGTAGTATATGTCAAAAGAGTTTTTCTCAGAGAAGTACTCTAAACGTGCACAGTCGTATTCATACTGGTGAGAAACCTTATTCTTGTAGTACATGTAATAAAAGTTTTTCAGAGAAGAGTCATCTGACAAAACACCATCGTATTCATACTGGTGAGAAACCTTATTCTTGTAGTATATGTTATAAAAGTTTTACAGAGAAGAGTCATCTGACAAAACACCATCGCATTCATACTGGTGAGAAACCTTATTCTTGTACTATGTGTAATGCAAGTTTTTCACAGAAGACTCACCTGACAAAGCACATAGTTGTTCATACTGGTGAGAAACCTTATTCTTGTAGTATATGTAATAAAAGTTTTTCACAGAAGAAGAATCTAACAAAACATCATTGTATTCATACTGGTGAGAAACCTTATTCTTGTAGTATATGTAGTAAGAGTTTTACAGGGAAGGATAAACTGACCGAGCACAGTCTTGTTCATGCTACAGAAAAACCTTTTTGTTGTAGTAATCTATGAGAATTTTTTTTTAAAAGGGACTAGTCTGACTATGCACAGTCGTGTGCATACTGATGAGTAATTTATTCTTGTAGCATTTGAAATATGAGTTTTTCAACGAAGAGTTGGCTGACAGAGCAAAGTGTTCATATTGTGGAGAAATTTTATTCTTTTAATAAATGTAATAATAGTTTTTCCCACAGATAAGTAGTCTGATTGTGTCCAAGCATGTTCATATTGGTGAGAAACTGTATTCTTGAATGTATAAAGAACTTTTCAAGACAAAAATCTAACTGAATAGAGTCATCATATCGGTGGGAAACTTTAATCTTGTAACTTAGGTAATAAAATATTTCCTTGAGATTTACCCTAAAAACTCTACGAATTTCTGTTCATTTTTTTGAGTAACTTTATTTTTGCAATTAGTTATAATAAAATTGTTTTACAATATAATGATCCAACTGTTCAAAGTTATTTTAATTGAGAAACCTCATTCTTGTACTGCATGTAAATAAAATTTTGTGAAGTAATTTTAATGTCTATTGACTGATTTAAAAATTTTAACTTTTGATGAACCTTATTTTTGCAGTTGACTGAATGTGACTGAGATAATGCAAGGCATTACACGTTTTTCATTTGAAAGCAAAACTGACCGTCAACCTACGACTAATAATAGATTGACGGTCAGTATTCCATTTCGATTGCAAACATTAATACCTTATTGAAACAAAACTGACCATCAAACTATGACTAATAGTAGTTTGAAGGTAAGGTTAATTAGGTCCCCGACCCACCGAAATATGGGTGTGAGGGAAAAATTTCAACTTGTCGCCGTGACTGCCGGAGGTGGACAGAGAGTATCTGGCACACGCACTGACCGAGAGGCCCGGCGAAGCCTCTCCGTGGCATTTATTTAAAAACAAGAAAAAATGGGTCTGGTTCATTTCATCGACAATCACTTCATCGACAGGCCATATCATCGACACCACTTCATCGACAGGCCATTTCATCGACTAGGTCATTTCGACGACAGGGTTGTTTCGCCGACAGGTCATTTCATCGACAGGGTCATTTCGTCGACAGGGTCATTTCGTCGACAAGTCATTTCTTCGACAGGGTCATTTCTTCGACAAGTTATTTCGTCGACAATGTCATTTCGTTGATAGTGTCATGCGTAATTCTGAAACTATTTTAGAGATTTAATCGAAATATTTTTATTATTAATTAGAAAATTGCACTTATTTAATTTTATACTAAAGTAAAATTCCTTATGGCTGTTTATTGTTTCAACTGCACTAAAAGAAGTTCGCTTTTTAAATTAATTAATTGGTAGTTGAGAAGCCTTTTAAACGGTTGATGTATCGAAATCTACTTTTCTATTTCTAAATCGTAATAACTCGGCACTTATTTTCAGGATAGGTAAGGATTGTCGTCAGAACATTACCAAGCATGATATCCGAACCATGGTCAACACTTAATATAGTGTGACGTTAACAATCAAATTGTTTTTAATATCAAATCAAATTAATAAAATATATTTTTAGAATTAAAAGCAATAAAAATATATTACAATGAAAATTTAGACACTATTTCAAGGAGAGGAAAGCTAAATTTATTGCTGTAAAAATTTTCAACATTTTTACATAAATTTTAACAAAAACATAGACTTCAGTCGAATTCTCACAGAAATGAAAATAATCATAGACCTAATTATAATATCTGCATAAGTAGAAAAAAAAATTCTAGGTTTTTTATGAAGGAAAAGTAATTTCTTAATATTCACTTTAATTGCAATTTTAAACTTTTTGTTCAGCATATTTAACATTAGGACAGGAATATGCTTATTCGAACAATCAAACTGAGTCTTAGTTTCGTTACTACTATTAGAGATTTCGAAGAACAATAGAAACACAAACTTTATGTTTAGGTATTTACCGAGGCGGTTGTAGATTCCCACAATACTTAAAGTGCTACTCACCTTACCAAAAATGTTAAGAAGCACGGGCGTAACGTTGCAAGCGTGTTAGTGTTTGCTCTTCACAAAACATGTTTCTTCTTCGAATAGTGAATTTAATAATAGTATTAATTATTCAATTCTTACACATTATACTATTTTTGAATTATACTATTATTATAATTAAATAATAATAGTATAATTTAATAAGAATAATAATAGTAGTAAGTAAATGAAGAATTAATTCATTTTTTATTTGCAGGATTTAAATTAGACACATTTTGTTTAAAAGAAAATTAACAAAAAGTCTAGCCTGGAATTTAAACGTAGAAATAAATAACTCTTACTCTTTAAAAAAGAAAAAAAAATCTTGCAATAAAAATTTGACCAATTTTTTACTAGTATAATTGCTGAAATTTTTAACTGATTTTCTACACAGGATGAAAACACAATTTTCAAACGCTTACTGACCACTATTAGCACGACTTATGGCCAATCAAAACTTTGATTATTTTCTGCCTGAACAAGCCAGGAGGCTCAAAACTAAAATGCAGAAAAAATAACAATTGCATATATATTTAAAATATCAAGTTTGTTCAGTAGACTACAAATGAGAAAAAAAAATTATAAAAATTTTCACGCACAGCAAAAACCACAAGGGCAAAATTTCACAAAATATTCTATCAACATTCAAAATTCCACTTTTTTAGTTTTGGTAACAAAAATTCACATTTCTTTTTCAGAACACATATCAAACATGATATTTAAAAACATTTCCATTTCCGATTACACTTTTTAAAGGACTTA